TAACTGGTAAAAACCCCCACAAATGACCCTGGCCGGTTTGGCTCAGCGGTCGGCCTGCGGTACAGAGAGACCCAGGTTCGGTTCCCGCTAAGGGCACGTACCTCCATTGCAGTTTGTCCCCGGCCCTGGTTGGTCGTGCGGGTGGCAGCCACTCGATGTGTCCCTTCACATCAATGTTTCTCTCTCTCTTCCTCTCTCTCCCTCCCGCTCTATCTGAACAAAAAATGGAAAAATGTCTTGGGGTGAGGATAAAACAAACAAACAAACAAACAAACAAAACCCCACAAATATAAATATGTAAGAATGTTTATTTGATGCACATAACTTTTTTGGTATAAAATAAATGTAAAAGTCACCTATGGAAGTTGTGCTGCCTTCATTGTTAAACTGCAGTATTACATTTCAAAAAAGAAGCTAAAATGAATCCACTCTTATAAACTGTTCTTGAAATAACCTCATACTGAAAATTTATTTCTACTGGTGTACTGAGTTGATTCTTTTTTTTTTTTTTATCCTCACCCGAGGATATTTTTCCATTTTTTGTACAGATAGAGTGGGAGGGAGAGAGAGGAAGAGAGAGAGAGTGAGAGAAACATCGACATGAAGGGACACATCGAGTGGCTGCCACCCGCACGACCAATCAGGGCCAGGGACAAACTGCAACCGAAGTACATGCCCTTAGCGGGAACCGAACCCGGGTCTCTCCGGACTGCAGGCCGATGCTCCAACCGCTGAGCCAAACTGGTCAGGGCCTGAGTTGCTTCTTTCTCTCTTAAATTATATATAACTTATAGACAACACAGGCAGAATTCTTAGAGATCCTAGTTCCTGGAATTCCTGTCGGTTTATGATGTATGTGGTTGTCAAGAATTAATGAAAAGGTGTTACTTGCTTTCAGTTCTATAAACACAAAGAATGCATTAATCAGCTGTTTTTACAATGCTTTAGCTCACCTTGAACACTCCATTGGTACAGTGTTCTAAAAAAGTAGTATCTGCAAGAAAAATGAATCAATTTGAAATACAGTTTAGCCATATTGAGTAGAACAAATGTGTTCTGTGCTAGAACATGAGGACTTAAGAAATGGGCCTGACAGATACATAATTTGTGTTGATCACTGAAAGATTCTTTGCAAGGATACATTCCCTTCATTATAAGGCAACGTGGGAATTATAAAGTCTGAAAATCAAAACCATCTTTTCAAAATGTATCCTTGTTTCCTTTTACCCCATTTGGTTATTCATTTCAGAAAATAGAAAATAAAGGATGACTATGAGCCACAAAGTCAAAGGAGCCTTAAAACTCTGATAGAAGTGATGGTGATAAGGCATCAGAAATGAATGGGACACCTAGGTTGGGGGACATAAAAATACTTTGATCCAACAACTGAAGTGTATCAAGAATTTAAGTGTAATTATCTGCCTGTAGGAAAACTCAAAACATCATACCCTGTGTGTAATATAAAGCATCCTAATAATGAAAATAATGTTCTCCCATGTGTCATTAGAAAACAGTCTAAACAGTAAACAATGTTTTGTTTTGTTTTTATCCTCACCCGAGGACATTTTTCATTTTTTGTTCAGATAGAGTGGGAGGGAGAGAGAGGAAGAGAGAGAGAGAGAAACATTGACGTGAAAGGGACACATTGAGTGGTTGCTACCTGCACGACCCAACCAGGGCAAGGTACAAACGGCAACTGAGGTACGTGCCCTTAGCGGGAACCGAACCCGGGTCTCTCTGGAATGCAAGCTGATGCTCTAACCGATGATCCAAACTGGCCAGGGCTAAACAATATTTTTTTAAAAATGTTTTTATTTCCCTGGCCAGTTTGGCTCAGCGGTTAGAGCATCGGCCTGCGGTCCAGAGAGACCCGGGTTCGGTTCCCGCTAAGGGCGCGTACCTCAGTTGTAGTTTGTCCCCGGCCCTGGTTGGTCGTGCGGGTGGCAGCCACTCGATGTGTCCCTTTCACATCGATGTTTTTCTCTCTCTCTCTTTTCCTCTCTCTACCTCTCTCTCTATCTGATCAAAATATGGAAAAATGTCAAGTGAGGATAAAAAAAAATGCTTTTATTGATTCTTCAGAGAGATAGAAACATTGATGTGAAAGATACATTGATCACACCTGCCTCCTGCACGCTCCCTACTGGGGATCAAGCCTGCAACCCAGGCATGTGCCCTGACCAGCAATTGAACCAGGACCTCTCAGTCCATGGGATGATGCTCAACCAGTGAGCCACACCGGCCAAGCAAAAAATAAACAATCTTAAACTATGAAAGAAATAACTGTATGGGAGAATTTGCAGTGAATGGCAGTGTTGAAGGGCAATGTAAAAGGGTAATGATCTGTTTTGACTTTTTAGAAAACAAAGGCCTGAGGATCTAATTCATTATTATTTTGCCCTTATTTTTGTTAAGGACAGGAAAATCCCCGATAGGTGGGCAACAAATATCAGCTTTGCTATTTTGTTCCTTTGGTACAAAAGGATGGAACACCAGGTTAACAATGCTGCCAGGCATTCATTTGTTAACCGTTTTCTACTGACAAGGCACTGTGCTGTGCACCGTAACCCTAGGTAGGTATTTCTTCCACTGTAAATTAGTGGGGGTTTGGTACCAAGCCGTTTCATGTGAGTAGCTAGTCTCTTGCCCCTATCTGAGAAGTCATGAGGGGGCGGGGGTCACTGAAATTCCAGAACCATAATCCTCTGACCAGGGTGTTTATATTTGGGGGAAAGACTCAGATCAAAGAGTTAGCCACCTGTGCAGCGCTCTTCAGAGGCGAATCCAAGACATTCATCTATCAGTTTGGAGGCTTGTGGATCTTTTTTTAAAAAAACCCTCTCTAGCCTAGGCATTGGGGCTCAGTGGATTGAGCATCATCCCATGGACCGAGAGGTCCCAGATCAGTTCTGGGTCAGGGCGCATGCCGGGGTTGTGGGCTCAATCCCCAGTAAAAGGTGTACAGAGGGAAGCCAATCAGTGTTTCTCTCTCTCCCTTCCTCTCTCTCGAAAAAAAAAAAACCAATAACAATTAAAAATAAAAGACCAATCTCTAGTAGCATTGAGGTTGCAGTTAGATGTTAAGTTGAATGGACTGTTCTATTTTTAAAAGTAAATAAGTTATTAGTTTATTAACTATCAGAATTGACTAAACTTTGAAAATTTTGTCTTACCACATTTTTAAAAATATCTAAGAAATGCACTGCATTTATCTTCAGGTAGAGTGGGAGGGAGAGAGGGAGGAAGAGAGAGAGAAATATTAATGTGAGAGAAACACATCGACTGGTTGCCTCCCACACGACCCCAACCATGGCCGGGGACAAACTGCAACTGAGTTACATGCCCTGAGTGGGAACTGAACCTGGGACTCTCTGGTTTGTGGGCCAACACTCTTAACTGCTGAGCCAACTGGCCAGGGCAAAAAAAGGCCTTTTTTATAGTGTGCATCACAGTGTGGAAAATAACTCATGTAAAAAATATTTTATATTCCAGCCCTGGCCAGTTTGGCTCAGCGGTTAGAGGATCGGCCTGTGGTCCAGAGAGACCCGGGTTCAGATCCCACTAAGGGCACGTACCTCGGTTGCAGTTTGTCCCCGGCCCTGGTTAGGTCCTGTGGTGGCAACCATTTCATGTGTCCGTTTTACGTGGATGATTCTTTCTCTCTCTCTCACTCCCACTCTATTTGAACAAAATATGGAAAAAATGTCCTTAGGTGAGAAGAAAAAAAAAAATCATATTCCAGAGATACTGGTTACATCCAGTGCTTGGATCAAATTTTAAAAACTGAAAGGTTACGAAGCATAGTAAAAAAAGTGTGGCCAGCTGGTGGAAACGTAAGGCAGAATGGTGCTTGTGGATTTCCTGATAACAATAAGAAATATACTTTATACACTTGGCCGCAGTTGAGCATCCTCCCCTGCACCAAGAGGTTGTTGGTTTCACTCCTATGGGAACATGCCAGGGTTGCAGGCTCCTTCCCCAGTAGGGGGCGTCCAGGAGGCAGCCTATCATAGAAACCTATTTCTTTGTCCCTCTCTAAAATAAATAAAAACATTTTATAAAGTGCTTTATAGATTAACATATATTTAAGTATACATATGTAGAAATGATAACCTAAGTTACACAAGAAAATGTAGGGACTTTTGTTTGTCATTCTCTCTGTGGCTGACAGGAAACAAGTCAATGTCCAATAAAGCTGCAAACTCCTCCACTCTAAGATACTAAAAAAAGAAAAAAAAGAAAGGGGCTTTACCCTTAATTTGTAGAACATTTTAAATGTATGTGTTATGTTTAATATTTGTCAAGTAAAGAGTTTATAATATGACTCCTAGGTGTTAAACTAGACATGAAACTTGATTCCTTCGTGGAACTTAAGTTGGGTGGGGAAGAAAAAAGTGTGACCCCTAGAATTCCTAATTTTTTACTTGAACTGACTACACTCTCATTTCTTAAAAGTGCTCCAAAGATGGCCACTAAAAGGAGGTCAAATCAACCGACTGTGTCTGTCAGGGAGCTTGGGAAGGGGGGGCTACAAGGAGCATGTGTTCACACACAGGAAGTCAGCCACAAGGAAGTGAATCAAGCTCTCTGTGAGGCACTGTATTGGTTCATGGTCTTCCATTTGATTGGACACCCATGATGAGTACTTCCCCAAATCATTCAGCTTTAAACCGTGACAGATGAATACCGGCACTGTGGGAATAGTGTACCTTACTTGCTTAATGGAGCCTGTGAAGAGGAGAATGATCCTTAAGAAAAGCCCTTCCTCTGGGATCCAGGAGCACATTGGACCCTTGGGCAATGTGGGGCTTGGGGCGCCAACCCCCTGCTCTGTGCAAAATCCACATGTAACCCCAGTTAGTCCTCTCTCTGTATTTGAAATACCAACAGCAGGTTGACCCTTGGGCAACACGGGGTTGAACTGCGTGGTCAACATGAAGTGGACCCGCGCAGTTCAAACCCACACTCAAGGGTCAACTGTACTTGTCCACAGGCCCGGCCTGTTTAAAGAGGTCTCCTCACGATCAGTGAGTCAGTTATGATGAGGTCAGTGGGCTTTTAGGCCCATCTCCACTTCTGCCAAGAACAGACTATGGCTGAGGATGACAATGTCCTGGAAGCTCTGGTAACCTCAGCTCCCTTCCAATCGCGACATTCCTCAGCCCTTAACTGGGAACCAGTACACGGACCTTGTTCATTATCCAGCACCGTATCACTTCCTGTAAGTCTGTTGGGACTTCAGCTCCTCTGTGGAGTTCACAGCCGTGGTATTTTATCACTCAGCCAAGCCTGGCCTGGTTTCGAACAAGAGCAGGGAGGCCTACGGCTGCGGGGCTACTCCTGGGAAGCACAGTCTGTAACCAGCAACTCGGACCGTGCTGTGAGTGTCGAAGCAAAGGCTTCTCACACGTCCATCCTCAGTTAAGGCTGTGTCAACAGCCTGACACACAAAAATAATTTCAGATACTTTTCAGCAGCACAGAGCGTTCAATTTAGGGAGTGATCACCTCAGAGCCAACTCCTACTTCCCATATTACAGAAGCCTTTATTTTCACCTTTCATGTTCCCTCTAGCCAATGACTACAAAATGCAGACCAGACACTGGCCGGTCTGCCACAGTCCGGGGGGCACGTTCTCCGTGGGCTGGAGCCGTGGCCCCTCCCTTGGGAAGAGGCGCTGACGGCTGGGCAGTCCAGAGGCAGTTCTTGCTTTACAGAGTACACGGGCTCTTCCCCAGGCCCTGTACCCTCAGAGCCCACTGCTGGGACCTGGTTTCGTTGGCAAGTTTCCAGTACCTGTCTCGCAGAAGGAACGCGGCGTGTTTTGGTTGTCTCTGGCGAGTGAAGATCCCCTTTTTATTCCCCATTACTCTCTGCGGTGCTAAAAACAAGGCAAAAGAAGGTTCAGATGACTTCTGATGGGCGAGCTGGAGCCCAGCTGGACGCCAAGTGGAAATATCCTGTTGATAGTTTAGGGCTGTTGGGTCTGATGTGGCCACTTAACGGGCTATCGATTTAACTACTATTGCTCCCCAAAACACCTCGCTCCCTGGTGTTAATTTTTCACCTGGTAGGGAAAACTACCCAAAATTGTTTATGTTTTACTTGCAAAATAAAGTCTAAAACATTAGGGTACCCAGCCCTGGCCGGTTTGGCTCAGCGGTTGGAGCGTCGGCCTGCGGTCCAGAGAGACCCGGGTTCGATTCCCGCTAAGGGCACGTACCTCGGTTGCAGTTTGTCCCCGGCCCTGGTTGGTCGTGCGGGTGGCAGCCACTCGATGTGTCCCTTTACATCGATATTTCTCTCTCTCTCTCTCTTCCTCTCTCTCGCTCCCGCTCTATCTGAACAAAAAATGGAGAAATGTCCTCGGGTGAGGATAAAAATAAATAAATAAATAAAGTCTAAAACATTAGGGTACCCAGCTGCCTGGTAACTGGAAGGGGCTGAGACACAAAGTTACCCTTGGGAAGATGACTCTTCGAGAGGGAGCCAGAGTCCTGACCACCCGGAGGTGCCTAGTGGGATCCACCAGTAGAGGTCAAAGTCCTCCCGGGTGGCCTCCAGCTGGGTTCCCACTTGGTGCTCGTCTGCCAGCGCTGACGCTGGGAAGGAGCAAAGCTGGCAACAGCCTGCGGGCTGCACTCTCAACACACCTCTCCACCCCCGTGAAACCACCGCTTCCATGAACCCCAAAGCAGGGCTTTCCCACCTATTTCAAGACAACAGTAACGTCCTCCACGGTAAGTAAATACCAGCCACCGTGCCAAGCGTGTCGTTGGGGGGAATCCCTACATCAACCTGCAAGGTGCTGGCACTATCCCCACTTTACAGGTTTGCCACAGTTAGGTCACTTGTCCAAGGTCACAGAGCTAACTTCTCACTACACAAAGCCAGTGCACCTATTCAGGAAATGTCATTCAAGGTATTTCCAGAAGCTATTAATCTCATTTGCTAAGCAGAGTAGAGGCTCACGTACTTATTCTTTCTTCTGTTTACCTTTCCATTCTCATTTTTAATTAATCTTTCCAAAGATCTGTCTTTCCCATAAGTATTGTAATTCCTACTACTACTACAATCAAATCCTTCTCCATCCCCCAAATTGTCACTGTAAGTTTATAGTATACCAAGAAACCAGTGATCTGGAGTAGCCCCCACCCATCCCCACTTGAGAAAGGAGTCCAGATGGTATTCTCCTGGAAGATGTTTAAACATTCCCACAATGAAATGCTTTGACCCTTCCCTGTATTCAGTGATCCTGCCTTGTACAAGTGAATAATACAAACAGGACTGGAATACCGTACACTTCTCAGGCTCTGTACCCTGCTCCGGAATAATGAGTGTACCCCACAAGGCCCACTTTTCCCCCATACTGCTATAAAACAGACAAGGCAAGTTAGCCATTTTGTCCCAACCTAGCAGAGACTTCCATTTGCTTTTTTGCGATAAAATGATCGGGAGAGCAGGCAAGTGACCACTGCCTGCTAAACGCACCTCTCTTTTCCTAGGACCTGCCCTGCGGGGCCTACAGTGATTACATCAGCTTTCCTCTTGTTCCCAGTGTTCTTACAGCCAAACGTCCTGAACCAAAAGGCCCACCTGAAGAGATCAGAACGGGACGTCCCAGGCCCAGCCATGTGGCTCAGTGGTTGAGCGTTGACACAAGCACCAAGAGGTCGCCAGTTCGATGCACAGGCCCAGGTTGTAGCCCGACCCCCAGTAGGGGGACATTCCATAAACCAAACTTCCACTTACTCTGGTTAGTCATAAAATCAGCAAAATTCCAGATGAGCTCTCCAACCACATAGTCTTTGCGTTTTTGATCCAGAGCCAAATGATACTGCTCTAGCAGACTTTTCTGGTACTCCTCAGTGTACATCAGTGGTGGATCCTGAAATTAAAGGCAAAGAGAATGTAAGAGTCAGAACTGGCAGAATTGTAAATATCAGATAAAAATAAAGATCCAGCCCTGGCCAGTTTGGCTCAGCAGTTAGAGCGTCGGCCCACAGACCAGAGAGTCCTGGGTTCGGTTCCTGCTAAGGGCATGTGCCTCAGTTGCAGTTTGGCCCCAGCCCTGGTTGGGGTTGTGTGGGTGGCAACCAGTTGAGGTGTCTCTCTCACATCGATGTTTCTCTCTCTGTCTTTCCCCTCTCTCCCTCCCACTCTATCTGAAGATAAATGCAAAAATGTCCTCGAGTGAGGATTAAAAAATAAAAAAATAAAAAAATAAAGATCCATGTGATGATGACCAAAATATCTGTCCTCAGGGTGGGCTGCTGTGACTGCAGGACTTGCTGGTGTAGAGGCAGCACCAGCAAGGGTATTACAAAGCCCAGAGTAAAAAAAAAAGATTAAAAAAAAAAATCCTTAACTAAATAATCACTTTGTTTATAAACATAATTTGCTACTTGCTTTGTCTTACTTTTAATCTCTATTCACCAGCTGAACTACACTGGAAGTAAAAATTCCTTTGAATAATTCATTTAAATCTCAAGACCCTGCCCTGGCCAGTTTGGCTCAGGGGTTGGAGTGTCGACCCACAAACTGAAGAGGCCCAGGTTCAGTTTCCGCTTAGGGCATGTACCTCAGTTGCAGTTTGTCCCCGGCCCCAGTTGGTGTTGTGTGGGTGGCAACCACTCGATGTATCTCTCTCACGTGGATGTTTTCTCTCCCTTCCTTGCTGTCTCCCTCTCTCCACTCTATCTGGAGATAAGTGGCCCCGCCCTCACTGGCTTTCCAATCCAGCAAGACACGCCCTGTATGTGTGATGAAGGTGAGGAGGGAGAGAGCGAAGCAGCAGCGGGGTACTGTTCAGCTGAAGGAGCTACTGGACACGGGGCCACAGAAAGCTGCCCTGTGAAGTCCTGAAGCTCAGGCCTGCCAGCGAGGGGGAGCCCGGGCATGACAAAGGCAGGGGCAGCGCCTCCGGACTCGTCCCGCACTGGGGAAGGGCGCCTATGCCCTGTGCTGACACACAGAGGGCTTGTAGATGTTCTGAAGTCCGAGTTTTCATCTCATGGGATTATAGGGGATTCAGGTCTTAGATGCTGAAGGATGCAGGAGTCTAGACAATTGTGCGACTACAAAGCCCTGTTTAGACTTGGCCGTTGTTTTCCAATGAGAAGGATTAAAATGCTACGCAAGATGCACTAAAAATATAACTGTATAATTGAAACATGTTGTGTTCCAGTTCCAAGGCTGAATTTGAGGGCAGGGCAAGGTGTAGATTTTCTTACTTTGCTTTCATGGAAACGACCCTGTACCGTCTAATACTAGTTGCATGTGGCTATGTGAAATCAAACCTAATCAACTCAGCCAAACTAGTCATATATCAAGTCCTTGAAGGCCATGTGTGGCTACCCTTCTGGACAGTGCAGAGACAGAACATTTCCATCACTGCCAAAGGTTCTACCAGACAGCGCTAACCTAGACTCTTTTAAGAATTTCTTAAAAATTCAGTTGGCACCACCCTGGCTGTTTTCACTCAGTGGTTAGAACGCCACCTGCAGACCAAACAGTCATGGGTTTGATTCTGGTCAAGAGCATGTACCTTGGTTGTGGTTTGTCACTGGCCCTGGTCAGGGTTGTGCAGGAGGCAACCAATCGATGTGTCCCTCTCATGTTGATGTTTTTTTCCCTCCCTCCCTCCCTCCCTCCCTTCCTCCCTCCCTCCCTCCCACTCTCTCTGAAGATAACTGAAAAAATATCCTCGGGTGAGGATTTAAAAAAAAAAAAATTCAGTTGGCAACTTTTCTTTTTTTAAAAAATGTGTTTTTAGGGATTTTTTAGAGAGAGAGGAAGGGAGAGATAGAAACATCGATGTGAGAAACAACAATCAGCTGCCTCCTGCACACTGCCTACTGGGAATCGAGCTCAAAACTCGGGCATGTGCCCTGATCGAGAATCGAACCGGGACCTCTCAGTCCATGGGACGATGCCCAATCCACTGAGCCACACTGGCCGTGCAAGTTGGCACCTTTTCAAAGAGGGAGAACAATGTGCATAGACGCTGCCTTCACAAACTAGTTCCCTCCTTGACCGGTGTTTAGAAGTGGCTTTCTGTGTAAGGAAGATGAGTGTAAAGGTGTGAACACAACAATACAGCTCATGTGGGAAGCTGATCCACATGCCAAAATCAGCATGTTAAGCAATGTGTGTCAACAAAGGATCCCAGCGGCTGTGACAGGCGAGTGTGAGGTGGCTGGGGTGGAGGTGAAGGGTTGACTATTGTCAAGGATCCACATGAAAAACGTTCCCACACATTATATCTCGGATGAGGAAATGGACAAAGCAATGAGAAAACGTGATTAAAACTTGCTCCAGCCCTGGCCAGTTTGGCTCAGCGGTTAGAGCGTCGGCCTATGGTCTGGAGAGACCCGGGTTCGGTTCCCGCTAAGGGCACGTACTTCGGTTGTAGTTTGTCCCCGGCCCTGGTTGGTCGTGCGGGTGGCAGCCACTCGATGTGTCCCTTCACGTCGATGTTTCTCTCTCTCTCTTCCTCTCTCTCCCTCCCACTCTATCTGTACAAAAAATGGAAAAATATCCTCGGGTGAGAATAAAAAAAAAAAAATTAAAAAAACTTGCTCCAAAATTCCATCCATCCCCTTATTATTTAGCGCTCACTGTGTGCTGACCACTGCTGAGTGCTTGGGAAGCAACAGTAAATAGGACTCAGTCCCCCCGCTGGAGCCCATGTCTGGCAAAGGAGAGGGCTAAAGAAATACTGCTAGTGCACCGTGCGAAACAGCAAGCCGGAGCCCAAGCAGAGGGAAGTGTCCTCCGGCTGGGCAGAGGGGGTGAACCTCATCGAAGAGGGAACATCTACGCTGAGACTTGAACACGGAATACGAATGCGCTGGCTGCGACTGTGGAGCTAACGAGAATGTTCCAGGCAGAAGGGACCATAAGCTTTAAACAGGCTGCCTCTGAGGACCAAGCAAGTGAGGGGACGCCTGGCTGGTGGGCAGCCAGCAATGCGGAGGGGCAGGCTGGGCGAGTGAAGGACTTGGGGGAGATCATCAGGGCGGGGGGAGGGGGCAGGGAAAGAGGCACGTTTCTAAGGAGGTCATGACTGACATCACTGCCCAAGATGGTAGAAACAGAAACAGAAGAGTCCACCCTACTTACGTGGTGAAACCCTGCAATGGTGTCTGCTCCGTACTCGCTCTGAATAACTGGCTTCTGGTAGGTCCTGTGCCAGTTCTCAAGCTCGGTGGCCACCTGCAGCTGAATCACCTCCAGGTGCCCGGGGTCATGATACCAGGAGTAGTAGCTGTTCACACAGATGACGTCCACATATGGCGCCTGGGGCGACATTAGAGCTTGTTCAGAGCTTGTTCACGGACCAGAAGGCTGCAGGATAGTGTTAGGACTCTCGCACTCGGGGCTCTTCTGGAGGAGCCGGTGAAAGGGGCCAGAAAATGATTTAGATGCTCACATGTGTAGGAAACAGTCCAGAAGTGACCTGAACGGAGCAGTGCACACTCCGGGCTGGCGCTCCTGACCTGGCCGGGGCTCCGGCGAGGGCCGAGGCAAGGCAGGCGCCCAGTGAGCTGGCCTCGGGAGCCCAGGGCCCATCCCCCCCCATGTGCTCCTCTCCAGCTAAGGCTCTTGGTACTGGTCCTCCCTCACCTGGCCTGGAGAAATGCTCCCAGTGAGGGACAGATGCAGTTTTCCTTCCCACAAGGAACCTTGATTCCCCGTGTGGCTCGGAGCTAGGGTGCTGGCCCTCCAGGGGTGGAGTGTCCCTCCCAGCAGGGTGGCCTACATGGCGGGGGACTGCCTCGCGTCTAAACAACGACGAGCTCGGGAGTCTGCTGCAAAGACTAGACGGCCAGTCTCCAGTGTCCAGTGTCTCCTGGACACACGCTCCCTCCAGAACCTGCAGGACTGACGTGGCCTGTTTCCCAAGGGACCGTGGCCTCCTTCCAAACTGCGGTGGTGGAAAAGCGCAGAGAGGAGGAAGCCGGGGAGGGACCTTTGGGTGGACACGAGGACACGGATCGCACATCCCCTGGGGTAGGTCTGGCAGCCTTCTGAGGCCAGGCACAGGCTTCCCTGTCCACACGAACGTTGGGGCAGATGTCACGTGGGCTCTGAGAACACCACGCGTCCCTGGGCCACGCCGGTGTCCACCAGTCTGTGTGCTTCTCTGGAGGCGGGGACTCGACAGACGGCAGGGGAGCACCAGGGCTGCACCTTCTCATCCATGTGAACATGGCAGTTCACGATGTATCACGGGACGCAGTGTTTTGTCATTCTTTCCCCGATGCTTTCTGTCCACAGCACCTCCCACCTCAGCTCTCCAGAGAAGGAGCATTTTCTTTGTGTCCACGGTTTCCAGCTTCAGTGCAACTGACTACATTGTCTCTGTGGGGCTGCCGCACCCGGGCACCTGAGCGAGGCCGTTGCCCAGCCAGCTGTGGGAGCCTGTCCCTTCGCTTCTCGATCCGGATCGAGTCAGTGGCTCCCAAAGCTGGCTGCTGACTGGAGCGCTGAAGAGCTCTTTGCAAACTCCGATTCCCAGCCTGGACTGACTGAATCAGAATCTCTACATCCAGGCACCTTCGTGGCTCTGACGATCAGCCCGGTTTGAGAGACAATGACGACGACAGCTTTAGGCTCCCTTCCACCTTTACCGTTTTATGAGCACAATAAACTGAGGTGCATAAAATCAAACCGAGGAGCCTGGAATCTGACTGAGAACAAGTGAAATCTCCTGTGCCAGCCCCTGGGACTTGGGGAGCCACATTGCCTGTGAACACGCAGGTGGTTATCTTGGACCTAAAGCCCGGCTGTGAAAATGCTGGACGGCCGCTCAGGGTTCTTCTGCTCCCCCCGGCCCAGCAGCCCCCCTCCTGCTGCAGAGGCTCCTGCTGCACAAGGGGTTCCCTGAACAGCCCAGTCCTCACGTCAGGAGGCTCCTGCCACACACAGTGTTCATTGGAGCATCAAGGCAGGACTAGAGGACAGGGCAGAGGAGATGAGAGGGGTGTGGGGACCCCCTCAGACTCACCCCCAGGTCCAGTTCATAGTTGGAGGCGGTCACATAGGTCACGGGCCGGGTTGGGTCCAAGGCTTTCGTGTGAGCAATCAGCGTCCTGTCCATGGAGGGCAGAAGACAGGGCTGCCAGCCACCTCTCATCCACTCTCTCCCATCTTCCCCAAAGGAAACCCCTGCTCTCCTACCTCTGAGTGTATTTTAGGTAAGCAAACATGGTCCTCTAGTCTGAGATCGTATTCCCGGACATCATTCCTTCTCCCTCCACAAATCCTACTCCCCTTCCCCAGAGGCCTCCTCACAGGGAAAGCTGAGGGTCCTTGGGCTGGGCTCTGCCTAAAACGTGGTTCTGAATCTCTGGGAAAGCTCTTGACAGCAGGAATAGATGGGGCGTGGATCAGGATGGATGCTAATGTAACACACGAGGGAGTGGTGTTAGGGGGCGGGCGTGTGCTGTGTGCTGTGAGCTGTGAGCTGTGTGCTATAGGCTGTGTGCTATGGGCTGTGGGCTGTGAGCTGTGTGCTGTGTGCTGTGGGCTGTGTGCTCTGTGCTGTGTGCTGTGAGCTGTGTGCTGTGTGCTCTGTGCTGTGTGCTATGAGCTGTGTGCTGTGGGCTGTGTGCTGTGAGCTGTGTGCTCTGTGCTGTGTGCTGTGTGCTGTGAGCTGTGTGCTGTGTGCTGTGAGCTGTGTGCTGTGAGCTGTGTGCTCTATGCTCTGTGCTGTGTGCTGTGAGCTGTGTGCTCTGTGCTGTGGGCTGTGTGCTGTAGTGGGGACTCACTAGAGACTTCAACAGCTATGCCAGAGCCTCGTGGAGCAGTGGGAGCAGGGACACTTGCAAATGGTAGAAATCGCAACTACACGTGGTAGCAGGAGGAGGGTTCTAGGAGACAATAACAGGGCACATAACTGAGGGCGGAGGGTCAGAGTCAGCCTATCTGAAGAAATGACATTGACGCTGAATCGCATTAACCGCAGAGGGAGGGCGCTTCTGACAGAGGCACCTGTCAGGTCTCCCCGAGCAGGTTGCCCACAATCACTGTTTAAGCCTATTTTCCGCTACTCCTTCCTCACAGCTAGTTTTCTTCCCTTTACACCCTTCTCCCCATAACTGCTCTGTTCATTCGAAGGCTGTGGTTTCCACAGGCCAAAACAGTACCCCTCACCCTCAAGTCTCAAACCCACCCCCTGAAACAGCCTATTTGTCACCTGGGAAGCTTCAAAGTCTAGCTGAGCTCCTCCAGCCCAGGCAGCTCTACCCACATCCTGCTACTCCCCACAGTCACGGTCTCCCTCTTCCTACCTCCCAGAAAAGCCCACCTGGAGCCTCAGGCACCCGTTCCCGGGAGACCACATACACTCCTTCATCCACACAACAAAAGTTCTGTCCACCAGCCCTGGCTCGACACACCCCTGCGTCCCGTGCACTCGGGCTGAGTTCAGAGCTGTGGGTCCCTTTGCCCAGGTGGGTCCCTCCTCAGAACCTCCACTGATGTGGCCCAGCTCACAGCACTCCGTGACTAGAGCGCAGTGTGCCTCAGGGAACTTCTGATGGCCTCTTGTAGCAAGTGAAATAACCCTCCTCTGCAGGCCAACTTACTACTGGCAGGACTGAAAGAAACATGGAACCAAGGAACACCCTGGGAGGCCAGACCTCCCACTGAGGAAACACTGCCCCCAAGTGGTGTTTCTTTCCATTGCAGCGCTGGAAGGAGGGTGGAGGTCAAGGAGAGGAGCTCCCAGAACCATGAACTCTAGATGGCCTGGTCCTGTCCAACAGGTAACTGTACAATAGTTAGAATATGCAGGTCATTGAAAAACCTGTTTATACTTATGTGGGCAGAGAAGCTGGTTTTATGAAGCCTAAACTGATTCCAGTTTACAGCTGAACCCAAAGTATCATCAAGTGGGTTTTTTTTAAGTTTTCACACACACTAAATTTTGTGGGAATGGAAATACCATTAAAAGTGCGGGAAACCCTGGCTGGTGTGGTTCAACAGTTAGAGCATCAGTCCCCGTACTGTTAAGGTTGCGGGTTCAATGCCCTGTCAAGGGCATGTACCTGGGTTGCAGGTTCAATCCCTGGCCTCAGTTGGGTGCATGCAGGAGGCAACCAATCAATGTGTCTCTTTCACATCATCCATGTTTCCCTCTCTCTCCCAACCTTCCTTCCTCCCTCTCACTCGCTCTTTTAAAAAGTATGTGGAAAAATATCCTAGAGGATTGAAAAAAACAAGTGATGAGATTACACTTAGCTTTGTTTGGAACTAGACCTGGGGTGGTTCCATTTTGGAATCACGCGGCCCTGGGGGACGGCTGTGGTGTCAGCACCAGCGTGGCCACTGCTGCCAGCATTTGGAGCTCTGCTTGCAGGGGACCCCACGTCAGGTGAGCACCTGACCCCCTCACTGCATTCTTGGGGAGTCAGGCCCGTGCATTCATGTATTCTTTTATAAACGACTCTCTTTATGCCATAGGTAGGCCATGCTGCTATTTTTTTTTGTAATTTGAAGTTCTGTGTGTAAGTAGGTTAGGTTACCTCTGGATTTCATTTCAGGTGTGAAAAGCATACACCAAGTCTCACGGGGCTGAAATGACAACTTAGGTGGGTATGGATCTGGTCCCTTCATCTGACCGGGTCTGGACGCACTGAAGTCTGGGCTTGGAGCTGGATGCTGCTGGCACACAGCCCACCCCCCTCAGGGAGTCCTCAGCGCTCCCATGGCTGCCAGCCAAACTAAGCCGGGCCGAAGGCAGGGTCTCTTCCCTGACCCAGGCTGGGACAGAATGGGGCACTCACTTGAAGTAGTCACCTGCAGGTTTCAGGAAGGAAGCGGGCTCATTGGCCACAGACCACATCACAACAGCTGGGTGATTCTTGTCCCTGCACACCAGCTCCTCCATCACCTCCAGGTGGTGCTGCAGAGACTCGTTGTTGTAGCTCTGGCTGTGGGGCAGGGAGAAAGGGAGTGCATCACCACCTGCCAAGGTGGCAGGCTGGACAGCGTGGGCAGTGGGCACTCACATCAGCACAATGCCCACGCCAGGGCTCTCATCGATGACCACAATCCCATACTGGTCACAGAGCTGCATCACCTCCTCTGCATAGGGGTAGTGGCTGGTACGGAAGGCGTTGGCACCAAGCCAGAGAAGCAAGTTGAAGTCCTTCACCAGCAGTGGCCAGTCAAAGCCCTTCCCTCGGACCTAGGGGACAGCAGAATAGAGTGACAACCCCCCACATCCCCTGTCTGCAAGATGTACTTCCTTGTAGAGCTGAACCCGTCAACCCTCTATCCAGCCAAGCACAGGTCCCATCGGGCAGAGGTTTGGAGCACTTTGCTTAACTGCTCCGAGCTGCCCTCAACCACTCCGGGGGCATGGGGAAGGTAAAGATGAGAAACGACTCCCACAGGGACCCAGGAGCCCCAACTCACGTCTGCATCCTCATGTTTGTTGACCCCATGGAAATAGAAAGGACTCCCGTTAATGAGGAACTGGCTCTCTGTGACAGCCACAGTGCGAATGCCCACGGGGAGAGTGTAGACGTCAGACACGGATCCAGCCGCCGTCTGCGCAGTCAGCCTCGCCTATGAGAGTCCAGCAGTGGTGCGAGGCTCCCTGATGGCCTGAGCCCCACAGCACGCCCCTCAGCAGGAAGGCCCCTGGGACCCCACAGCAGCCCACCTCTGGGACGCAAGCAGAGACATCAAGAAATCACAGGCGTCTGCCACTAGCAAGGAGGAACCTTTGCTCACCTTGACCCAGGGCCTGCTCTTCAAATCTGGGCTGCCCCAAGAAGGGTTGACAAAACCTCAGGCTGGGAATATGTCAATTCAATCGACTAGGAAGCTCAGAGCACCCGTGCCTGCCTACCCACCTGTCCTACACCCCTGCTAAAGCCAGGTAGGGCTGCTGGGTGGGAGCAAAGGCCTCTCATAGCCCCAGTCTTAACCACCATTACCTCCAATGAGTACAGGTAGGCAGGGCGCTCATGCATCAGGTATGGCCACCAGAGGTGGGCATCGGGCACCTTCAACAGGCCCTGGCTCCCAACATCCCTGGCCACGACTTGGCCTTCCTCATCCAGAAGGCACACTTCCAGCTGGAAGTCTTCACTGCCTTGGACGTCAATCTGGTAAGAAACCAGCCCTGTGGCAGACAAGAGAGATCAGAGAAGAGAGAAGGACGTGACCTGGGTTGTACAGATGAGAGGACCCTGAAGCCACCATTCTGAGGAGTCTACTTAGGACCCGACACCCCAGCCAACAATTATTTCTTGAGCTTGATCTGCAGGGGGAGACATTGAGTGCGGGCAGCACAGGGGGAGACGGACACCAGGTCTCCATGTTCTCGGAGTGATGTGATCTCAGGAAGCCCCACTGCTTACTGTGCCTTACTTCCTTCGAAAACGAGGTCAGACAAGATGGGTATTTCAGAAGCCCGTGCCAGCTTACACGGGCTGGATTTTAGCTTCTTAGGTAAATGGGAACCTCTGAGGGTTAAGAAATGCTGGAAGAGCCTTTCTCCTGGGGCATCTTTCAAAACAGGGAACAAAGCCACTTTGGGCCTGGCTGCAGGCACACCCTGCTGGAAGCCCTCACCGGTGTTTTGGTCCACGTCGGTGATGACAGTGATGTCGTCAATGTAGGTGGTGGGCGTGGTGTAGAGGAGCACGGGCCGGTGCAGTCCGGCGTAGTTGAAGAAGTCAAAATTTGTGTTCTGGACAAAGTAACCCCGGGGGTACCTACAGTGGGATGACAATGGCCAACTGGGGTCTTGCCCTGAGGCCTTCAACCTCCCCTCTGATAAGGATACTTTGCCCCTTGTGGGAAGACCACTGGGCAGCGCGGGGACTGAAATGGAGAGCAGGGTGCTGCTCACTTGGAGGTATCCGTCTTGTAGAGGATGGTCCCTGGCGGCAGGGTGTGGGGGGTGAGGGTGTTGTTGATGGCGATGGTAATGCGGCAGGTGGACAGGGGCCCAGTCTGAACCAGCTTGCTGATGTCAACCTCGAACGGAAGATGGCCTCCCTCATGCTCTGTCACATGGACCCCATTCACCCACTGCAGACACAGGAAAATATGGGGAGGGGACAGCAAGCCAGACCATGAGGAAGGGGCACTGCCATCTCAGGTACTCCCTCACATAGACGTGCCCTGCCAGCTTCCACCTGCCTCCCCAGCCTGATGGGAGGAATGAAGATTAGGCAACCCTCCCCAGTGTGGGGCAAAGCGTTTCCCCCCACCCGCCCCAGGGGCCAGGCTGTCAGGCAACAGCTGAGAGCTAGGCACCCCAAGAAAGCCCCATGCGTGCTCAGCAGCTGAGCCTGCCCACTCGCCCTGCCTGCTGCTCACTGCACTGACCACAATGGCATAGTAGTGGGCGCTGCCAATCCTCAGCACCACTCTCGTGCCTGGGTCCTGGGTCCATCGCTGGGGCAGGGTCACCTCCCGTTCATACCACACCCAGCCGACAAAGCTACGCAGCTGCTCATCCTGGCCCACGTCATTGAAGCTGGAGGGAACAGGCATGTCCAGGGTGGGACCCGACTGGGGAGAGAAGGGCCAGGATCAGGTCCGGATCACCTCAGAACCTCAGACCAGGGTCCAGGCACTCCCCTTCCCCAGAGGCCAGGTCCCCCAGCAACTCTGCTTGCAGGAAGGCTTCGCCAGACCCTGGAATCCTAGGCCACCACACCATCATTATTCTTTGCCAGCAACTAACCAATGTCTTTTCTGGAGCTCGTTTAATTCTCACAACTCCATGAACTAAACACTAGTCACGCACTCATTCAATGGACAGTGAACACCTACAATGCTGTTCTAGGGACTAGGAATGAAATGGTGACCAGGCCTCTGCTGTCAGAAGATTAGCTCTATGAAGAGTGTGGACGGGGCAGGGGACTATGTCAGGCGTCAGGGAAGGCCTTCTGGGGTCAGTGCCCATGGGATATTGCCTCAAGACAACCTGGCAGGATTGGGTGAACCTGAACCCTAAGGGAATCCCGTGAACACCTCAGGTAAAGAGCAAGGCAGGAGTGAGGCAGACAGCTCAGGGAGCCTGGAAGCAGCCTGGCTTTCTAAAGACATCTTGTATGTGGGACATGTGACCTCAGAGGGGGGAATGTTCTCTGCTCTTCACAGCAGTATCCCCAGGGTGGGACACAAGCCCTGGCACATAGTAGGAACCCAATATATATTGGCTGAATGGATGGATAACTTGCTGACGAGGGACTGACTGCTAGGATGGTTTATGTCCAAGAAGTGGTGGGGCCAGAAGTTCTTTCTCAAGGCAACCAGCACCAGGGTCTCCACGGAAAGAGGTGAGCCTAGGACCACAACATGAATGAATGAAATGAGAAGGGTCGGCAGAGACTAGACCCCGACTAAGAATAAGATGATCAACTGGCCGCCCCAGGAGGAAGGCTGGCCATGCAGGGCTGCTTTGCAGGGGAAACTGTGAGGGGTGCACATGACCTACACTTCCTTTTTTCTTCCCCTGCTGAATGCTGGGCAGCAACCACCAAAATAAGAGAATATGGGACAGGGAGCAGTGCATGGGCTTACAGGCCTGCCCAGTCCCACTTCCCTGCCCTCCCCCCCCACGTCAGCGGGAAAACTTGGAGTGGCGAGCTTGGCTGGCTGGGTGCCAAGCCCCCATCTCTACCTGAACCTGGAATCCAGAGTCTTGGTGCCAGGGCAGAGCGGGTCCCATGATGTCCAAAGTCGGCCCTCTGCCCAGCTCCGTGCCACGGACCCTGCTCGGGCTCGTCCTACCCCACTGGACTGGGCTCGACCACGGGCCCTTCCCCGGCCCAGGGAGGGTGGGCGCCCGCCCCCCAGACGTTTGGTTCGGGATCCGCCTTCCGCCTCACCCTCCTGCGTCGGCCGACACCTCCCGCCCCCACCGCACGCCTCCAAGCGGGTCACCTGGAACATCCGGGCCCGCTCCTCCGCCGGCAGGGCTCCCAGGCCCCCAGCCGGCTTCCAGGAACGGCCCCGCCCGGCCCGTCCCCCTGCCCCAGGCTCCCGCACCTCCCGCAGCGGCGTCCGGTACCACTGCTGCTCGAAGCCCCGGCGCCGATTTTCGGAGAAGTCGGCGCGGAATTTCCAGAGGCCGTCGAGCTCCCTGCGCTCCCGCGACGCGCTCTCCCGAGGGTACAGCATGCCGCCGCGCAGCGCCAGCGCGCAGCCCCCGAGCAGCGCGAGCACCGCCCCGAACCCCGCCGGCCGCCCGGCCATGGTTTCCGCGCGCCCGCCAGCCGCTGCTCCAGAGCTGGAGCCGCCGGGGTTGTAGTCACTGGTCGGGGCGGGGCGGGGGCGTGGCCGGGGCGTGGCCGGGCTTGCCTTGGCGGGGCGTGGTGGGGCGTGGCGAGGCCGGGTGTGCCCAGGACGGGGCGGGGCGGGGAGAAGCTTGCGGCCGAAGACTCCCACGGGTTTTGGCTTCAGGCTGTGCGGAGCCCGCAGGAGGCGCGCGAGGTGGGCCTCTGCGGAGGGCTCGCCCGGTTTGCCAGGGGCGGCGGCGGGATAAGGCAGCGGGCACTCAGGGGCTAGGCCTGTCGTGGAAGGGACCCCGAAGGGCGGAGGTGTCCGACTCTGCGCCCGTCAGTCAGGCCCCCGGGTCACTGTCTGCACCCCGTTCTCCAGGGACTGCTTTGCCCCTCTGCAGGGTCACAGGCCAGAGCGGGACCCTAGAAAATGGTCGGTTTGCTCCCACCCCACCTCCACCCGTTTCTTCTGAGCCCGTCCTGAGACACTTTCACTTGCTTATGCCTGCCAGACACCTAGGGGGACCAGCGGACATGTTTATTATGTGCAGTGGAGTCCCTCCGACAGGGACACCTGTCCCAGGGACTAGGCCATAGTCTTGACCCTGAACCTCCAGGTCACGTGGGCCCCAATGCCCTGCCCTGGGGCTCAGAACGCAAGGCGAGGGGCCTTGTGGCTCCAGTAACCTATCCTGGATACAATCGTTCCTACAAATACCTGATTTTTTTGTTAATTATTATTTTTTACTTTTGCTCGGATTTCATTCTCACCTAAGCAACTTTATGATAGTGGACTTTGATGTGGAAATGGAATCTCTAGGACAGTAAAAATAAAATAGATTCTAGGAACTACCAAGTTCTAAAGGCTCTTCCCAACATGCTTACGATATAAAAATATGAGAAAGTAGCATGCAAATGTTTATGCAGCATGATTCCCACACAAATATAGACATAACGTGGTTATTATTGAAATGATATACAGATGATTTCCATTTTGTACTTCATACTTTCCTGATTTCTTAAAAATGCATGATGAACATGCATCATCATCATTATTATTATGAGAATACATTTATTAAAGCTGAGGATATTGAAACAAGGAAGATCCCTGGCCGGTTTGGCTCAGCGGTTAGAGTGTCAGCCTGCGGTCCAGAGAGACCCGGGTTCGGTTCCCGCTAAGGGCATGTACCTTGGTTGCAGTTTGTCCTCAGCCCTGGTTGGTCGTGTGGGTGGCAGCCACTCGATGTCTCTCTTTCGCGTCAATGTTTCTCTCTCTTTCTCTTCCTCTCTCCCTCCCACTCTATCTGAATAAAAAATGGAAAAATGTCCTCGGGTGAGGATAAAAAAAAAAAAGAAAAAAAAGAAACAAGGAAGAGCTTAGAACAGAAGAAGCATCAGAAGAGAGCCTAGGCAGGGCTGCTTTGGCTCACAGAAATGTCACAGTGAAAGCAGTGAACCAAGGTGGGGCTGTTGTAAGTCCACTGGAAAGTCAGAGAAAAGCGGACTTTGGAGACAGGTTCAGAAGGTTAGCACCAGAGAGCTGCCTCTGCCCATTGCTCCCCTGGTTATAAGTCTCTGGGATCCCTTAGAGTTTAGGAGAAGCATGGCTATGGGGGAAAGAAGGGGGAAGGGAAAGGCCAGGGCATGTTTCTGGGAGGGAGAGCATGCATTATGTTTATAATCAGAATCGAACCAATAAGTTTTTAAAAATGCATCTTTCATTTTTCTTTTTTTCTGTAATAAAAGCGAAGTATTCATAGTATTATGCAGTCTCTCTCGGCCTGCTGGGGGGTCAGCACAATGGAATGAACTACAAGCACACGCTGGTAGGAGTGAGGGGGAGCATAGCAAGGGAGCAAATGCTGCAGATCTCTGGATGCAGCCTAATTTATTTGCAGATTGGTTCCCCAAATTACGTGTGGATTTATGTAAATTAGTTCCTTGAGATGGTGCCTCTGCAAACCATACAGCCTAGCCTTGTCTATTGCTTTTTATAGCTGAAAGAGACTTCAAAGCTAAAAAATAATAAATCCACACACTCCTGGGGTACAGCCCATTATCCTCACTGGGTGGTCTTCCAACCTTTTGTCATGCAAACCTTATCTTATTCACATGCAAACAAAGCATGCAGTTGCACTCCAGGTAGTTTTCCTGCCTTCCAGTCCAATCTGTCTGTCCACACACTCTTTGATCCTAGGCTGGCCAGGTTGTGAGAATGCATATCACAAGGTTACAGTTCGTTCATCCACCAAACCCCCATCCTTACAGTATTATTGTATAAAATGAAAATTGAAAATCAAACATTGGTCTACATATACTTAGCTCCACCCACCCATATCCTTCATTTTTGACTAGTCTTTTTCTATGCTGTTGAGGTTCTCACTAAGTTCATTTAGAATCTTCACCAAAGTTTTGAACTCTGCATGTAGTAGATTGCTTATCTTCATTTTGTTTAGTTCTTTTAATGGAATTTCATTCTGTTCTTTCATTTGAAACATGTTTCATGAATTACATTTAAGTTTTTTACTCATTTTGACTTTATTCTTATGTATGGTGTAAGTTGGTGGTCTAGCTTCATTTTTTTGCAAGTAGCTGTCCAATTTTTTCAACACCATTTATTGAAGAGACTGTTTTGATTCCACTGTATGCTCTTTTCACCTTTGTCAAATATTAATTGAGCATATTGTCTTGGGTCAATGTCTGGGTTCTCTCTTCTGTTCCATTGATCTATATGCCTGTTCTTATGCCAGTACCAGGCTGTTTTGATTACAGTGGCATTGTAGTATACCCTGATATCTGGTAATGTGATTCCTCCTACTTTGTTCTTCTTATTCAAGATTTCTGTGGCTATTCAGGGTCTTTTTTGGTTCCATATAAACTTCTGAAGTATTTGTTCTAGTTCTGTAAAATATGACATTGGTATTTTGATGGGGATTGCATTGAATCTATAGATTGCTTTGAGTAGTATGGACATTTTAATGATGTTAATTCTTCCAATCCATGAACAAGGTATGTGTTTCCACTTTTTTATATCTTCCTCTATTTCTTTTTTCAGTGACCTTTAGTTTTCTGTGAAGAGGTCCTTTTCTTCTTTGGTTAAGTTTATTCTTAGGTATCTTAATTTTTTTGCTGCGATGGTAAATGGGATTTTTTTTTTTTTTTTGGTATCTCTTTCTGTGAGCTCATTGTTGGTGTATAAGAATGCCATAGCTTTCTTGACGTTAATTTTGTATCCGGCTACATTGCCATATTCATTTATTAACTCTAGTAGATTTTTGATGGACTCCTTAGAGTTTTCTATGTACAATATCATGTCATCTGCAAATAATGACAGTTCCACTTCCTCCTTTCCAATTTGGATCCTTTTTATTTTTATTTTCTCATGTCTAATTGCTGTGGCTAGAACTTTCAGTACTATGTTAAATAAGAGTAGCAAAAGTGGGCATCCCTGTCTTGTTCCTGTTCTTAAGGGAAATGCTTTTAGTTTTTGCCCATTGAGTATGATGTTGGCTATAGGTTTTTCATATATGGCCTTTCTTATGTCGAGATATGATCCCTCTATCCCATATTGCTGAGTGTTTTTATCAGAAATGGGTGCTGCTTTATGTTGAATGCTTTTTCAATATGTATTGATATGATCATATGATTCTATCTTTCATTTTGTTTATGGGGTGTATCACATTTATTGATTTGTGAATATTGTACCATCCTTGCATCACTGGGATGAATTCCACTTGGTCATGAGGAATAATATTTTTGATGTATCGCTGGATTCGATTTGCTAATATTTTGTTAAAGATTTTGGCATCTGTGTTCATCAGGGATATTGGCATGTAGTTTTCTTTCTTTGTGGTGTCTTGATCTAATTTTGGAATTAGGATTATGCTAGCCTCATAAATGGGTTTGGAAATCTTTTGTCTTCTTGGATTTTTTGGGATAGTTTGAGGACAATGGGTATTAGATCTTCTTTGAATGTTTAGTAAAACTCCCATGTGAAGCTGTCCGGGCCTGAGCTTTTGTTTACTGGGAGTTTCTTAATTACATTTTCAATTTCCTTAGTTGTTATTGGTCTGTTCAAATTTTCTATCTCTTCATGGTTCAGTTTTGGGAAACTGTGTTTCTAGAAATTTGTCCATTTCACCTAGATTGTCCAATTATTTGGCGTATATTTGTTCACAGTATGTTTCATTGATCCTTTGTATTTTTGTGGTGTTAGTTGTTACTGCACCTCTTTTGTTTCTGATTTTGTTTATTTGGTTCCTTTCTTTTTGTTTCTTGGTGAGTGTGGCTAAAGGCCCATCGATCTTATTTATCTTTTCAAAGAACCAGCTTTATGTTTCATTGATCTTTTGAATTGTTTTTTATTGTCTATGTCATTTTTCTGCTCTGACCTTTAGTATTTCTTTCCTTCTACTTGATCTTGGTTTTCTTTTTGTTTACTTTCTAGTTCTTTAAGTTATAGGGTTAGAAAATCAATGAGGAATTTTTTTTTGTTTCTTGAGGTAGACTTGTAGTGCTATGAACTTCCCTCCCAGGACTGCTTTCACAGTGTCCCATAGGTTTTGTGTTGTTGTGTGTTCATTTTCATTGGTTTCCAGGAAGTTTTTAATTTCTTTCTTGATCTTCTTGGTAACCCATTTATTGTTTAACAACATGCTATTTAGCCTCCCAGTATTTGAATGTTTTTGCGTTTTTGTTGTAATTGAGTTCTAGTTTCATACCATTGTGATCTGAGAAGAGCTTGACAGGATTTCAATCTTCTTGCATGTCTGGAGACTTACTTTGTGTCCTAACATATGGTCTATCTTTGAGAATGTCCCATGTGCACTTGAAAAGAATGTATATTCTGCAGCTTTGGGGTGAAATGTTCTGTAAATAGCAATTAAGTATAATTGATCTAAGTCGTCATTTAAGGACTCTATGTCCTTGTTAATTTTTGTCTAGAAGATCTATCCGATGGTGTCATTGGGGTGT